TGATATATAAACTACATCTTAATAAAGAGTTAAGTTATATCTTAATAAAGAATTAAGTTCAGGGCCTCCCTGGTGGCGAAAAGGGTTTAAGCACAGCACTGTGACGCTATCAACAGCCTCTGCAGCACCAATTTAATCCCTGGCCAGCCAGGGAGCTACCCACATGGTGCAGCAGATCTCTTCTGTCTCGCCCGCTGCTCCCCTCAGCAGTGTATTTCAGTCAATCTGCCTGTTCTGTTCCCCACACTGTCTCTGGTGGATCCTCTCACCCCTGCACCTCTGGCCTATACGTCAGTTCTTGTATGCATAAATAAACAAAACTTAAAAAAAAAAAGTTCATAATTTGGTCTTGAAATATTCAAGAACTTAAATAAAAAAAAAAAAGGATACAACTTGCTCAGTGTGGACTCTGAAGACAAAGCTAGAACCATTAAAGTATAAATTATAGGGAAACAGATTCCCACTCAATATCAAAAAGAAACAGTCAAAGCTGACTCAAGTGTCGGCTCACACAAAGAAATATCTCTGGAGTCACTGAGCAAGGCAGATGCCCACCTGTTAGGAATGTACAAGGTTTCTAAAGGGCCCATAAATACCTTGATAGCAAAATAGTGTGTCTTAATTTTTTGCAGGAAAGGGTCCGTAAGTTAGATGCTCCAATGGACAGGGGACAGTCACCCAAAAAAGAATGAAAAAGTCACTACTAGTGAGAGAAATGTCAGCACTTGAGAGATGCTGCACTAGATCTACAAATTCCTTTCAAATCTGAGACTGCAAATCCCTACAGGTGTTCTCCCCAAGAGTGTAATGAAGAGTATTCAGTACTTATGGGCACAAATAATCTGACCCAGAACAAACTCTGGTGTCCTCACAATGCAAGTTAAAAATTCTCCTACAAATGTCCTTGGGCTATAATTCAAGAATAAGAAAGATGTTTCACGGAGTAAGCCCAGTCGGATCAAAACTCTCCTCGGCTCTCATACAACCCAGTATCTATTCCTCACTCTCCTGCGCTAGTTCCTCCTCACGTTCCTGAATTTTAAACACTAGGAAAGTGCCACACTTCAATCCTCATTCAGATCTACTCTGCTTTACTCCCTGGGTACCAAGGCTTAAACATCTTCTATAAACTGAAAACTGTACTTACAACCTCCAGTCTGGAAGTCTCTGAATTCCAGACTTGTATATACCCTACTATCCATTCAAGATATCTTTTTAATTGAGGCTAAAGTCACATAATGTAACATTTTAATCATTTTAAAGTGCAAAAGAGTGGCAATAAGTATATTCACAGAGTTGTACAATCACCACCTCCACCTAACTTTTGAAAATGTTTTCAAAGTCTCAAGAGGAAACCCTGTACCCATTAAGTAATTGTTCCCTGTTTCCATAAATCACCAATTTGCCTTGTCTATATGGATTTATTCACTGTGGATATTTCATAAAAAGGACAGAACATTGAGATTTTGTTCTGGCTTCTTTCACATAGCAAGATGTTTTCTTTCTTTCTTTTTTTTATATTTGCATACAAGAGCTGGGGTACAGGCCAGAGATGCGGGAGGGTAAGCGGATCCACCAGAGACAGAGTGGGGAACAGAACAGGCAGACTGACTGAAATACACTGCTGAGGGGAGCAGTGGGCAAGTCAGGAAAGGTCTGCCGCACCATGTGGGTTGCTCCCTGGTGGCCGGGGATCGAACTTGTGCTGCAGAGGCTGCAGACTGCTTCATAGTGCAGTGCTTAATCCCTTTTGTCACCAGGGAAGCCCTATTTTCAAGGTTCACCCAAGAAGTATATAGTGCTTCATCCCCCTTTTATGGCTGAACAATATTCCACTTCCATTGCATGCATGTGTCGTCATTTGTATAACCACTCGTTCATTGATGACCATTTTTAGGCTGTTTCCACCTTTTGGCTATTGTGAGTCGTGCTGCTATGAACACGCATATACGTGTATTTGTTTTTCTGAATGCCAGTTTGCAATTTCTTTCACTATATATACCTCAGACTGGAATTGCTGGGTCATGTTTATGCTTAACTTTTAAAGGAAACACCAAACAATTTTCCACTGCATCTGAACCATTTCACATAACTACCAGCAATGTGTGAGGATTTCAAGAGCTCCACATCTTCACCAAAACTTATTTCCATTTGTTTTGTTTTTTATTACATCCATCCCAGTGAGTCTGAAATGGTACCTTACTGTGTTTTTGAACCTTCCCTAATAACTAATATGTCGAGCATCTTCTCATGTGCTTACTAGTCATCTGCATCTCTTCTTTAGAGAAATGGCTATCTAGTTTGTTGCCCATTGTTCTGAGTTGTCTTTCTGTTGTTGAGTTGTAAGTTTCTGCATACTGGAGTCTAATCAAATATATGATTTGCAAACATTTTCTTCTGTTGCACTGGCTGCTTTTTTACTTTCTTGATAATGTCCTTTGATAACCAAAAGCTGAATTCTGATGAAGCCCAATTCATCTATTTTTTTTATTGCTATACGTGGATTTGGTGTCACATCTAAGAATATTCTGCAAAACCTAAGGTCACAAAAATCTACCCCTATGTTTTCTTCTGTTTTGTGGTTTTAGCTTTTAAACACTTGGGTCACTGATCTTAATACGGGTCATTTTTAAATCCATTTCTGGATGCAGCATGAAGATAGACATTTATTCTTAACCACCTATCAGGCCTGTCAAACTCTATGTGTCCCAAACTAAACTGTCAATATTCCGCCACCAAACCTGCTCTTCCCAGTCTTCCATACAGCTCAGTAAATGCAAATGCTCACGTTAAAAATCTGGGCCTCCCTGGTGGCGCGGGCGATTGAGCGCAGTGCTATGAAGCTGTCCGCAGCTTCTGCAGTGCTGGTTGGATCCCCAGCCGGCCAGGGAGCTACCCACATGGTGCAGCAGACCTCTCCCGTCTCACCCGCTGATCCCCTCAGCAGTGTGTTTCGTCAGTCTGCCTATTCCGCTCCCTGCTCTCTCTGGTGAAGCTTCTCACCCTTCCGAAAATCTGGCCTGTACCCTGGTTCTTGTATAAATAAATAAATCTTTTTTTTAAGATTTATTTATTTGTTTGTTTGTTTGTTTATACAAGAACTGGGATACAGGCCAGATTCCCGGGAGGGTGAGAGGATGCATCAGAGACAGTGGGGAACGGAATAGGCAAACGGACGAAATACACTGCTGAGGGGAGCAGCGGGCGAGACAGGAGAGGTCTGCTGCGCCATGTGTGACCCTCGCCCACCCGCTAGGATCGAACCTGCGCTGCAGAAGCTGCGGACCACTTCACAGCACTGCACTCAACCACCTGCGCCACCAGCGGAGGCCCAATCCTGGGCCTCCTGACCAATTGGTCTCCTGACCAATCTAGTATTTGCTCAAGTCCACCTTAGCGAGGGCTTCTCTGATGACTAAATTTAAATTAGCAATTGTGCCTCTGTAACTACTCCTTATTCCCCCACCTCGAAATACTTAATTTTTCCATAGTAAGTATCACTATGTTATGCTGTATATTCACTTGTCTAGTTTCCCCCAATAAAAATGTAAAGTTCTTGAGAGCAGGAACTTTGACTTGCTCATCTGCACACTCCAGCTCTCAGAACAACGCCTAGCACATAGTATGCCTTCAAAAAACATTCGTGCGACTGATAAACAGCATGCTAGGCATTACAACCGCCTGTCTCCAGAGTTTTCTGTAAACGAGACATTCTCACCTCCAAACGTCCAGCACATAGTAGGTACTGCCTTGAAACGAATCAACAAAAGGGGCCTATAAAACATCCTCAGCTTTCTAGCAGGGTCTACACCAACGTGAAGTCGGGGCAGTGAAGTCGGGGCATGCAGGGCTACCTCCAGGCAGCGGTTTCCACACCAATTCCCATGCCCTCACGCACTTCCTCCCACCGGTATCCCCTCGAGAACTGCGCTAGAGAGTGACGATTAGAGCCAGAATTTGAACAAAGAACAGGTCGGAAGGAAGGAGCAGTTGTGCCTTGAATTGAGATCAAAGGCGGTGGCCGGACTCGGCAGCAGCCCCGCAGGGCGGCGGCAGCAGGCAGGCCCGGGCGATCCGGCCCCGGCCCCACGCACCCCTGACAGCTGACGGCCCCGCAGCCCAGAGGGGGCCGCGCCGCGCCCGAGGCCACCAGCAGCACGGCCGGGCGAAGCCGCGCGCGCGACGCCGGCGCGGCCGCCGGAGGTCCCACCGCGGGCGCTGCCCCCCGCGGACCCCGCCGGCGCACGTGCTCCGAGTCCCCGGCGCCCGCCCGCCCCCCGCCCGCGGCCGCCCCCCAGCTCCCCCGCCGCCGGGGGCCACGCCGCGCCCCCTCCCTTCCCGCGCCCCCCGGGGCAGGCCCGCCGCGGCCCGGGCGCGCTCACCTGGCGGGGTCCCGCGGGAACCTGAAGAAGGCCAGGTCCGACTGCGTGCTCTTCCGCGTGCAGTTGGGCGCCGCGCAGAAGTTCGGCATCGTCGCGCGCCCGCCGGCCGGCCTGCCCTCCCCTCCCCGCCTCCTCAGGGCCGCCCGCTCGCCCGGCGGGGCCGGGGAGGGGAGCCGGGCCGGCCGGCCGGCTCGGCAGGGCCGGCGCGCGGGGGGAGGGGCGCGCGGGCGAGGCGCCGCGAGGGGCAGGAGGGGCGCCGCGGTCCGAGGCCGGGCTGGGGACGCGGCGCCACAGTGCTGTGAGCGGCCGGGAGGATTTACCGCTGCCGCCGCCGCTGGTGCACCTCCCGCCCGCCCGGGACGCTGCCGCCTCCTTCCCACAATGCACCCCGGCGCCCGGGGGTGCCCTCTCTTCCCTCAGCCTGCTTCCCCCGCCCCTTCCTTTGCGCGGACGGCTCCGGCGGCGGGCACGCGCGCGTGGCGAGGTGGAGGCGGGGCCTGGCGCGACGCCGCAGTGCGCCTGCGCGCGGCCCGCCCCGCGCCGCGAGGGCACTGCGCATGCGGGCGTGTCTCCCGGGACGCCAGAGCAGGCCAGCCCGGAGCTACTCTGGTAGGTTCGGCGTGCGCGGGGTTCTGCAGCCCGAGGGCGAGCTTGCGCGTCCCGTCAGCGATGCAGCGCTCCTTGCTTGCTTCGTGAGCCGCCACTCAGGCCGCTGTTGCGGAAATCTGCGTCCGCTCTTAAAGGCCGCAGCTCCGTCCGGGGCGACCTTGGTGACCGGTTGGCACCCTCTCGAAAGGGCAGTTTGCCGTCGCGAGTGGGGCGCACCCCTCGGTTGCAGGTTGCAGATTTCGTTTCCCCCCCGACTTTGCAGCTACTCTTTGTCCCCATGAGCGTCTCAGAAGCGGCTGTCCCGCGCTGACTGGAAGTGGAGGGGCGAAAACTCAAAATCCATTCCTCTTCCCTTGGTGAGGCTTCCAGAGGAGCGAGAACTGCGGCATGATCGCCCCGGCAGCTCTGTAGACACCGGCCCCTCCGTCTTCCCCTCAGCCCTGTGTCCTGTGAACGTTCTCGTGTCAAGTACCAAAATGAGTGACCGCTATCTAGAACAAAGGATCAGTATCAAATTCTGCGTGAAATTGAACAAGTCTGCAAGTGAGACCCATCATCTTTTAAAAGAAGCGTATGGGGATGAAGTCATGTCAAGGGCCAGGGTTTTTGACTGGCACAAGAGGTTTAAAGAAGGGCGGGAAGATGTTCGAGATGATGCTCGAAGTGGGCGTCCTGTTACCCACCGAACAGATGAAAATATCCAAAAGGTCAAGGACTTGGTTTGTTCAAACAGGCGGTTAACAGTGAGGATGATGGCTGAAGAGTTACATTTAGATAAAGAGACTGTTAGACTCATTTTGAAAGAAAACTTAAATATGAGGAAAGTTTCGGCAAAAGTTTTGTCAGGTGTTTTGAGGGCTGATCCTAAACCTGGAAAACTTCACTTTCAGTCTGCTCTTTCCAAGGAAACTAGGAAACTTAGTTCCTGTGTAAGGAAAAAGGTAACAAGTTCTGAAACTTGGAGTCATCTCCAGTGCCAGGCTGGTGGGGAAGTGCCTCTGCCTGTATCCCACCCCAGAATCCACTACCCTGCCAGCCAGCTTCTGCATCCTTCATCTTCAACAAGCCTGCCCACCAAGGCAGCTCAGGATTGGTTCACACCTTGGTGAGACAAGTGAACCCAAATTAGGAAGCTGCCTCACTGTTAGGTACCTGTATGTGCTGCTCATCTATTTTCAGTCCTTTGTACCACTCCTTCCTATATGTCATGGGCTTCCTTCTTATTCTTTGTGGGACCACTGGACCATCTTCCTTACTATTCTCCGTAACTTTGAAGAACGTTTGGCTGTTGACGTCTGGTACTTGCTTGTTCTTGATTTCTGTTGTTTGATAAGTTTGGATCTCTTCACTACTCAGACCTTGTTGTGGCAGTCCTGTTCCTTTGTTCTCAGCATTCTGCCTCAGGGGATCATGGCTGTATGAGGTGGGGACAGGACCTCCTGGAGTGTATCTCTGTGCCTAAGGAGACAATCTTCTGGGAGGACCCCAAAAGAAGGCCTGCAATTCCAGCCTGCTTCATGGTTAGGGCCTGAGGTGTGGCATGGAAGGCAGTGGCATGCTGACTAACGTAGAAAGCAAAGTTTAGGGCCGATGCAATCCAATTGACTCAGTAGGACCCCCTCAGAACCCAGGGGTGGCCACCAGTAGTGATTGCTCACAGACCTACTCCTCACTGAAGAGCTGGGCTTTTTTCATTCTAATTCTGTGCTTTAAGCCTCCAGTCATTTAGGTATCCCCTCTGCTAGAAGAGGAGGATCTGGTCCTAGAAAATATAAACCAGGTACTCAGTCCCAAGTTGTGATGTGTGGGAGGAAGATCAGGTGACACTCGATTCTAAATTAATGGAGTTGGGGCCTATGTGCTGATTTCCCACATGGTGGCCCTGTTTTTAGTAACTAACACCAACATTGTCAGGTGTTACATGAGCACCTGTGGTTTTTAGAACATTGCTGAGCATTGACAATGTGAAGTAATGACAGAAGCTCACCAAGGGCTTTGAGACTTCATAAATGAGGTGATTCTAAACTGGATCCAAAAGGAAGAGTGAGACAAGGGACTAAGAAATTAGGGAAAGCTTCCCAGGCAGGTGGAACAGCATGGAGGTGGCACTACTGGCTGAAATAGCAAAGTTGAAAGAGGAGGATAATGGTGTTGCCGAAGATGAACGACTTGGGATAAGTTTCTTCCTCTTCTCTGCTCCCAATTATATGCCAATAGTTTGTGTATTGCTTCCCCTGAGTCTGCGTGTAGGTTTATAATAATCCTCTTATTTGAATATCTAATTTTCCCATAAAACCTCCCAAAAAGCAGTTTCTACAAGTTCACTCTCCTTTATCTCTTCCTTTCTGTCAGGATTTATGGACTAGAACTTTTCCAAGAAGGTTCCAAGTAATACCACTGACTAGAAACATCTCAGAATGCCTGGAAGGAGTATAAGGGGAGTGGGAGCTGGATAATAGCATTTAACAGGATTAGTCAATGCCTGCATTTTACCTAAGGATTTTCTCATGGAACAGCTCCTATCATTTAGCTAGTAAGGAAGTAAACAATACTGGTTAATAGTAGAGGCCCAATATTTATTCAACACAATGACTTTTAGTTCTGTTCCTTCACTCTCTATACCCCCTTCAGTAAATTACATGTTCCTCACTTATACCTCTCGGTTCTGAGGCACAAATAAAAATTACTATTCAAGAAAACTCTTAAACTAAGCAATAGCTAACAGACTTCTACCTACTTAGCAATTTCCAAGCATTCCATTTCAGGACCATTCTGTCTTCTTATACTATATGAGGTGCTGGCTTTCCCATAAGCACTTGCCACCAGGGACAAGGTGCTTCTGGAACAAGTTCCCCACTGCTGACTATTGCAACATTGCGGCTGAACCTCATAGTAATCCTTACTCAGGCCCAGTAGTAATTGCTATATAATTCTGGACCAGACCCATGCCAGTATCCTACCTATAGGCCTCTTTTCCAACCCATTACAAAACAGGTCCTGAGAGGACTTAGTTCTGCATTTACTCCTGTCATACACAGGGCTTGAGGGACCCTGCCAAAGATGTCAAAGCCTATGATGGAGTGTAGGGTACCAGACAGGGCTAACACAGAGCAACAGGAAGCAGGTGATAAGGAGTGAATTCAAATCACTCTTAAGTAGCTAGAATGAAAAGGACTTGATAGGCTATCTTAGATCTTAGATTTACTATCTTACTACTCAGTTAGGCAGGTTGAACTGCTACCTGAACTCATGGCCCATTTGTAAGGTGTCTCAGAAAATATTCAATGACATTATAATAAACGCTCAGATTTTGGGCAGGCGAGCCAACCGTTCGTACGTGGCTGCTCCAAATCACCAAACCCTGGGCTAGAGCAGACAGAAGAGCTCTCACAGAACAGTACCACTTATATACCCACCCACCAAATCTGTTTTTGTTTTTTTTTTAACTGATTCAAATTTTGCCTAGACCTGCATGTTACAGCCTGAGCGGCTTGAGCTCCTGACAGTATGGTCTAAGGGATCCACCCATGCATCCTGCGGCAGACTTTTGTGCTTGCCTTTTGTCAGGCTCCTCCCAGTTTATTCTCTGTTTGCTCTTGTTCCTCTGGTGCTTTGTTTTCTGGGTCTGGACCACACCTTCCTCCACTAGCTACTTTTAGCCACTTCGGTGTTTTTCCACTTGTAATATCTTTCTCCCTGATGTTTAGATCCCTGTTCCAGCTCTGCCCTTCAACCCCAATCTTAAGGAAGTTGTCTTCTCTAGCTCTGCCTTCCTATTAAGAAATAGAGCAGAGTGACGTGGGGCAATGCTTGCTTGGTTTGGTTTAGAAAGGGCAATACAGGAAGGGAAAAAAACTCCTGCTCTTGGCTACCCTGGGTTCCCTTTCCCAGAGGCGATCAGTGTTGGCAATTCTCAAGGAGTGGTTTGTTAATCTCTGGTCCTCAGGAGTCATGAAAGTTTTTCAGAGATTCAGGTGTCCACCTCTATCCAAAAGTGGTAGGTTATTTTTTAGGTCTGACAACTCTCAAAAAATTATTCGGTATCAATTAATGGTAACAGTATAACAGTATTGGGGAAAATATGTGCCTAGAGCTGCTTTCCAAGCCATCTTTTCAGATCTGTTTCTTGCTTAGAGTTCAAAGTTGCCATTACATCCACCTGGATAAATGTGGATGCTAATGACTTGAGGACATCTAGTAAAGGAACCATCTGTCACAGCGTCACATACACTGCTCAGGTACCAAGTCTCAGTAGGCTCCTTGTGATTGGGTCTCCCCCCGGGGTCCTCTGTGGCTCAATTAGTAAAAACTTGTCTTTGCTGCCAGGACTGTCTATGTAACCCCGTGTCCTCTAACTGCTTCTTACTTGCATCAGACCGCCCAGATTTTACCAGGCTCTTACATACTATCTGAGATACTTCCCATGTGTTTATCTTCTCCAGCCTCTGCCTATCAGGTCCTTGCATAACACTGTCTCTGATGCATTCCCCTTTTCCTGGTATTAATATCCAGAAGCAAAAATTCTATAGTGGGAAACCAGTACCTCTAAGGACTCACTTAGGCGTAGTGAATGGCTCAGCAACTTTTTCTATAACGGAAATGTCTTGGGCTATGTGGGCCATACAGTCTCTGTTGCAACTCTTCAATTTTTTTTTTTTTGCAGACCTAGCTCATAAGGAAACAGATGAGCTTGACTGTGCCCCTAATAAAACTTATTTATAGATTCTGGAATTTGAATTTCATATAATTGTCACATGTCACAAAATATTTTTATGTTTTTTCAACCATTTGCAAAATGTGAAAAACTGTTCTTACACATCTTAGCTTATACACCGTGGAAAACCAGATGGTGGGCTAGGTTTGGTCTATGGACCATAGTTTGCCAGCCCCTGTTCTATTGTACATAAAGAGTGCATATAAAATGACAGATAATTGATCTTTTTCCATCAATAACATTGTTAATGCCAAGTAGATCTGGCAGTGCCTGACAATTTACTATGTAGAAGTTGTGAAATATTGAAGGGAATTTTTTGGTGCCAGAGCTGAATGATTGACTATTTTACCCTGATATATTCTGGTTCATAAAATGAATTTTGTGCTGTTTTTGACAAAAAATGATATTACATAATCTGCTACCTAGTATATGCCCTTGTAATAGCTCAAAAACAATTTTGAAAATACTGCAAAGGGTACCAAGTTGCAACCAGCAGTAATAGAATGAATGAAGGTGGTTCCAAAATTGCCTTGATCTTAGGCAGCATTTGAATAAGTCCGTAATCACCTATGAAAATGACTGCTATGGGGGTGACGAAATTCATTGAATTATACTATATATTATACTGTAAGTATATGTAATACTATATATATTTGCAGCTTGTGCCAAGTTATGCCCTTTTAAGTGTATTTACTTGTTTTTCCCCTAAAAAGCCATATTGTGTCACCTTTATTTAAACTGATATTCCTTAAGTGAAATAGAATCTCTGGATTGAACAGACCTTTAGTAGAGTATTTAATCCAGCCAGTTACTTTTCCCTTGAATCCAGGAGTGACTGAATCCTACAGCTGCTGAAAAACTTGCATCTTGAAAGAAGCTGTGTTGATTTAACAAATTTTTATTGAGTGACTGTATGTACCAGGCACTGTCCCATATGCTGAGGCACAGCAATGGACAAAACAGGCAGTGGTCTTAGATTTGACAGTCCGAAATCTAATTATATTACTCTTCACTCTTGCTCACACTAACTCATTGTTAATTGCTTACCTGGAGTTGGTGTGACCTTTCCCATAGGCCCCTGTGCTTGGTCATGATCCCTCTCCAACTGCATTAATAATTTGAGGACTGTATGTTCCATTTACATTTTATTATGCTTTAGACAGATCTGTGTTGGTAGAAAAACACACTGGCAATGTTGGAAGTGTAAATTGGCAACAGCTTTCTGAAAAGCAATTTGGCAATATCTATCAGGAGCTTTAAAAATGTTTATATCTTCTGATCCTCTAATTCCACTTCTGGGAATCTGTCCTAAAGAAATAATCTAAAATGTGGGCAATTTATGCTTAACAATCCAGCAGTCCAACAGTAGAAAATTGGTCAAATAAATTAAGTATGATTATACAATAGACTACACAGCCATTATAATTAACGTTTGTAAAGAGTTAAAACAGCATGGCAAGATGTTTGTGATGTTAAATGAAAGCAGTGATATGCAAAATGGTGTATATAATTCAGAAATGTTTTTAAAATGACTAGAAAGATACACTAACTGGGTAGTTAGAGTATAAGGGTGGTTTTTTTTTTTTTTAATATTTCTGTTTCTTTCAAAAAATACTCCTCCAAAATATTAATTGTAAAAATAAAACAACACAAAAATTGGCAAGACAGGTGGAACATGGAGACTATATGATAAGTGTTGGTGACAGGAATGCGACAAGGGAATAGGGGCCTGCCCGAGAGGACAGGGTATGCGACCAGAGTAGACTCCACAAGTGGCATGTCCCTGAGATGTAACCCGAGGTAGGTGGAGCACGTGTGGGTCAAGTGTGTTCTGACAAATGGGAAAGGATATGAAATACTCTTTTGGGTAAAATTAACCTTTGGATTTCATTCTTACATTTTCTCATACAAAAGGAATATTCTCAAAATGGATTTTATTACAGCGGCTCTCAGAAGAATCCTTGAGCTTTCCATATAATTTCTTTAGGATAAGAAGGGCTTTCTATGTGCCAAGTCTACCTCCTCGCATACTGGGACTCTCAAGCAACACAGATATACATGGGGATATTTGGTATTCTGCTTGAGAATACCGCGTGCGTATCATTAGTCATCTTAATGTTGTAATTTAACTCTAGGCTTTGCAAATGTTATTTTGTTGGCACCCAGAATTGCTGTACTTTTTATTTATTTCTGAAGAGTAATCATGTTATAGAATTTGAAAGTGTGAAATGATGTAGATAATGTATATCCGGAGATGAAATTGTGCTGGGAAAATGTGTACTTCATTGTTGCTTTGGTAAAATGTTTATTAAAATGCCAAATAGAGCCACTTGGTAAAATTTCAGACTTTCAAATGAGCACACAACATAAATACATGTTCTGTAGGCGTGTAGATTGTAGATTTGTCAAACTGGAAGAGTTCTTCAAGCTCTAGATCTAAGACTAAGTCTCTTGGTCTATAGAAAGAACCGAAAAAATGAAACTTGAGTTTTAGTTCTGCTCCATAACGATCCATGCAGCTTTGCGTAGTTCGTTTGTGCCCTCTGAGCCCTTTGGTTTTCTCACCTCTAAAAGTTGAATAATAATTCCTATCTCATGGAGTTGTTTTCCTCATTCAACAAATATTTATCGAGCGCTTATGTGCATGTGAAATTGTCCCAGGGAATGAGGATATAGCGGTGAACAAAACAAAAAAAATGTTCCTACACATGGCAAACCTTTAAGTGTGGGAGACAGACAAGAAATTGGAAAAATGGGTAAAAATACAGTATGTCAGATAGTGATTATTAGATGTGAGGATTACATTAAACAATGTGTGTGAGCTGGCAGCACAAGACCGGGCAGAGAGTAAGTACCAAATAGATGGTGATTCCCTTTGCTTCTTTAGTCTTCCTAATAGCTCCTGAATGACTACAAAATAGTAGTAATTGGCAAAAAGCCTGACCCATTGCATTCTATGTCTGGCCAGTTAAGGAGGCCTAAACTTGTTTTTGCTATAAGAGTACAAAAGAATTCTTACAGTTGGGTTTTGTACTCCCTGCATGGCAGATAAATGATGGTAGTAACAGCATAAACACTTGATGGCCTTTTTCTGAAGCCAGTTGGTCAGGGATCCTTGCCTCGGACTAGGTGGCAGGTATTAGGTCCACAAAGACAAATGCCTGGTATCATTGCTATTTGAGCAAAAGAGGCTAGGAGACTGTAATGATTGTTTCTTAAAGAAAGGATGGGTTTCCTATGTCCTATTCCAAATATTGCAGAACTGGGCAAAGTTTGCATTATTTATGGGACATCAGAACATTGACAAAAAGCCAAGAAAGGGAGTTTTGAAAGCTGGTGGAGTTTTGTTTTGTTTGCCCATCAGAAAAATGTGGAAGTTCAGAAATATTTTAAAAAGCAGCCAGAGGTTGAACCTTATGGTTCAGTTATTTCCCCACACCCATCTCTGCCTCAGTGTGCCCTTTCAAAAACATCAAGTGAATGGTCATACACCGAATTCCCTCAGACCTGGGCCTGGGCACAGAGGGCGCAGCACTGTGGGTTAGGGAAGGAACCATCAGTAGAAAGACCACCAAGAATGGGCTTCTACCATCAACATTCTTTCCCCCAAGACAGTTCTAGGGAACAAGCTTTTATAAAGAATTTGGAAATTAAAAAAGTCTGAATCATCACCGTTAGGGTGGTTGTGAGAATGAGAAAGTAGAATATAAAGAGGCAGGACACAACAGTGGTAAGGGGCCTGCTAGCTGTACCACCCTGGCTTCTCTTATATTAAAGGGCTCCAAGCTCTGTCCACAAGGATTTCCTCCGCAGCAGTACCTCTCAGAAGAAACTGGACATTGGACTGTGGCCCAACACCCTTGCTCTAAAAACCTAATAAGTGAAAATTCAGAATTACAACCCAGATTAGATGAAAAAATTGGTCCAGGGAGTCTCAGTGACTTTTCTTGAATCACACATCCCGTTGATGGCAAGAGGCAGGATAATAATGAAGGACCTTGAATTTCACTCCGTCCCAGGAGTTTTTTTCCCATTATGCTGTTGGTAATAATTTCCTAAAGCATACATCCTTAACATATTGTTGAAGTAGCAGGCACCCTTACATTTGATAAGTATGATTTACCAGCAGTTGATTTACATGTAATTTTTAGGAAACATATTTATGGCATAGAAGGTGGTGCAAAAGTTTTTCCATTTCCCTGCGGTGTCCAGGCCTCTGGTCCTTCCAGATGTGTTTTTCATAAGAATAAGTTGGCACTTTGTCATTCCTTTTTTCCAGATGTTCTTCCCAAGTAGTGTGTTATGTTTTGTGTTTTTAATATTTCTCATACATCTTAAAAGTCTGGGCACATAAATCCTAATAAAGTTCTCAACTATCTCCTCTATGCTGTCTCAAATTTCTGGGTGTGTTTGTATTTGTGACACAGTGTCTGAAGGCATGAATGCTATCACATCATTAAGGCTTATATTCCTAAACCCCGGACTTGTGTTTCTAGATGTTCTGAAAATCCTTTACACTTCACTTGTAAATGCCACTATACTGTGCCATGACATTTCCATAGCAACATATTTCAAACAGGAAAACAGAGGCAGTCCAAGGAAAGGGGAAGTAGGTTTCAAATGCAAGATAAAATAATTAAAAATAGAATACTTAAGTTGGGGAATATAAATTCTAGTACATGTCCACTGAGCACAGTATCCATCGGGCCCACCTGAGGGACTAGCAATACCAGCCAGTCACCAGCTGACCCAGTTGTGGAGTCACACTTCCTTTGACCCTTAAGTCCAGTCAGGTCTGTATCTTTCTAATATTTCTGAGTGTCACCTACTATACCTGCACAGCGTGGCCACCCACCTGCTACCTCACGCCCTGAAGTCCATCCTCAAATATCAGAGTACTCTATGTTTTGCAGTTTGCTGAAAACCAGAGGCTTTCTGGCCTCAACTTTTTGTGCTTACTCAAGTCATCCTGCTGCCTAGACTCCCCTCTCTGCTACCATTCACCTGGCAGACTCCCACTCAGCAATCAAACCTCAGCCTTTCCATTGCTAGTAACTGCCCCCCTCCCTAGATGATGTAGCTGCCCCCCCCCATGTGCAATGCAAACTCTTATGTCAAGGTAACTATAATACTCAACTGAACTTAATTGCTTGCAGAATGTTTTTCCTCCTCTACCAGCCCATGAACTTCTCAAAAACCAAGACCACATCTGATTATCCTCTGTATTAACGACATCCAGAATTAAGCTTGCCTGGAACTGTTCAACAAATGTTTGATAGCTGAATGAAGAATAGACTTAGGGCAATTGCATTTTTTATGATGGTAAAATTCATATAACAATTCACCATTTTAACCATTTTTAAGTGGTGAATTTAAACATTCACAATGTGGAGCAACCATCACCACTATCAAGTTCCAGGACATTTTCATCACTTCAAAAGGAAATCTTATACTGGTGAAACTCACTCTCCATGCCCCTCCTACTGGCAGCCCCTGATGATCACTAATCTACTTGCTGGCTTTGGTTTTGGCTATTCTGGAAATTCATATAAACAGAATTATGCATTATGTGGCCTTATGTGTCTAGTTTCTTTTTGCATAATTTCAAGATCCATTGTTATAAGATATATTCAGTATTTCATTCCTTGTAGGGCTAAATAATAATCCCATTGTATTGATATTCCATATTTATCCATTTTGGATATTTGGGTTGTTTCTACCTGGTGACTCGTATGTATAGTCCCACCACAGACATGTTTGTACAAGTTTTGTTTTAAGCACCAGTTTTTAACTCTCTTGAGTATATACCCAAGAGTGGTATTGTTGGGTCATATAGTAATTTTGTTTAACAAATCGAGGAACCACCAAACTTTTCTATAGCAGCTGAACCATTTTTGCATTCCTACCAGCAACATATGAAGTGAGAGTTCCAAGTTCTCCATGTTCTCACCAACATCTTTTACCTCCCCCAAACTTTTTACCTCCCCCCCACCTTTTTAAAAACTCCATCTATTCAAATGAGTATAAAGTGGTATCTCATTGTAGTTTTGATTTGCATTTCCTTAATGTCTAATGATGTTGAATATCCTTCCATATTTTTTTGACCATGGATACATCTTAGGAGAAAGAAATATTCAAATCCATTGCCCATTTTATTTAGTTTGCCCTTCTGTTGTTGAGTTGTAAGAATTATTTATATATTCTGTATACTACTCTTATCAGCCATATTATTTTGCAAATATTTTCTGCTATTTCATGGATTACCATTTCACTTTCTTGATAGTGTCCCTTGATGCTGAAAAGTTTTTAACTTGGTGAAGTCCAGTTTATTTTTAATTTGATAGCTTGTACTAAACCGTTGCCAGGCCTCCCTGGTGGCCTAAGGGTTAAGTCTTTGCACTATTACCTCTATGGCCTGAATTTGTTACCCGCCAGGATACTAACCCACATATGGCGCAGCAGACCTCTCCTGGCTTGCCCGCTGCTCCTCTTAGCAATGTATTTCAGTATATCCACCTGTTCTGCTCCACACTCTGTCTCTGGTAAATCCTCACACACATCAAAACTCTGGCCTACATCCCAGCAGCAAGACATATTTAGTTGTTATGTCTCCTGCCCCTCAGCAGTGTATTTTAGCCAGTCTGTTTGTTCTGTTTCCCACTCTGTCACTGGTGAATCCTCTCACAGGCAGACTAACTGAAATACACTGCTGAGGGGAGCAGCAGGCGAGCCAGGAGAGGTCTGCTGACCATGTGAGTAACTCCCTGTCCAGGACCGAACTCGTGCTGCAGTGGCTGCAGACAGCTTCAGAGGTTGCGTCTTAACCCCTTGCGCCACCAATAATAAATCTTAAAAAAAAAGAAAAAAAGAAAACCTGTTATTTCCCCATTGCCAACTTTGTTTTTGAAAGATACTTTCAAATTTTTAGTTGACAATTTTTTTTTCTTTCTGTACCCTAAAGCTTTTTCTCTGCTATCTTCTGGTTTATATTACTTCTGATGAAAGACTTCTGTAATTGATATCTTTGTTCCTCTGTATACTGTTTTTTCTCTCTTGCTTCTCTGAAGATGTTTTCTTTATTGCTGACTGTAGCAATTTGAGTAAGCAATACCCCATTGTAGTTCTCTTCATATTTCCTATGCTTGAGTTTCTTAGATTTGTGGCCTTAAAGTTTTTATCAAATTTAGAAAACTTATGACCAATATTTCTTCAAATAATTTTCCTGTCCCTTCCACATTTAGGGATTCCTATTACATGTATATTAGGCCACTTGAAATTGCCCCACACCTTATTGAGGCTCCGTTTAATTTTTTGTCTTTTTTCTCCTTGTGTCTTTTGTATAGTTTTTATTAATAGATATGTGTTCAATTTTACTAATTCTTCTGAGATGTCTAATCTATGTTTATCCCATTTTTCATCACAACTATAATTTCTATCTCTAAAAATTTTATTTTTATCTTTTAAATAGATTTTTAACTTTAGAATAATTTTAGTTAGTATTGAGCATTCCCAAATATTCCCTCATTCAGTTTGAGTTTCCCCTACTGTTACTATATTTCTATGTTATGCTTATCAAAACTAAGATACCAGCATTGGTACGTTATTATTAACTAAACCCTACACTTTGCTAACAATTTTTCATTAACGTCTTCTTTCTGTCCCAGCAATGAACTAAGGAGATCCAATTTTATTTAGTTGTTGTGTCTTCTTAGTCTCTTTTCACTCTTGGCACTTCCTCAGTCTTGTCTTGTTTTTCATGACCTTGAAAGTTTTGAGGACTATTGGGCATGTATTGTATAGAATATCCCTTAATTTGGGTGTGTCTGAAGTTTTTCTCCTGTTTAGACTGTAGTTAGTGAGTTTTGGAAAAGAATAGCATAGAAATAAAGTGTCCATCTTATTTCATCAAATTAGAGAGTACATAATATCCACATGACATCATTGGTGATATTAACTTTCTTCATTTTTTGAAGCGATATCTAAGCACTTATTTGGGAGGTTTCTTAAGGAGTCAAAGATGTTAGCTTTAATCACTTTGGCTAAGGTAGTTTTGCTAGATTTTCCTACTGTAAATCTACTCATTTTCCTTCTCCATACTCATTCTTTGGACATAAGTCGCCAATTTCAGCCCACACACAAGGGAAGAGGAGTGGTTGAGTTTAGCCTCCTAGAGACAGGGAGTATGTACATACCATTTGGAATTCTTCTATATGGAGGAGTTACCTTTTTTTCCCAAGTTATTTATTTTATAATTTATTTATCCAAGTTTGGACATATGTGTAATTTTTTACATTTTGGATTATAGTGCAATATAATGTTATTTTATTGTTAAAGTTGAACCAGCTTTGGCCATTAGATCCTTTTCAAAGTTGGTTTTTGTATCTTTTTGATCCCATCCTTTTTTTTAATACTTCCTTACTTTCTGATACTACAACATGTTTTCATGATCATCTTATTTTCCTTGTTCCAGATCTGCAATCAATCGTTGCTCTGACTGTCCGGTTTCCTTTTACTGGAGAATGGTATCAAGAAACCAAGTTATGGGCACTGAATGTATTTGTTCCTACTGGGATTTGGATCTTTTTTATATCTGCTTAATAAGTATAGGAAATTAGTAGAGTTGGAGGCTATTACTAGCACACAGACATGCATAGTAAAAAACTAAAAAGGTAATATCACACAGAGTTAAGAGTATAGACTCTGGAATCTGAGGATTCTGGAATCTGACTGCCTGGATTCAAATTCTGGCTCTTTATCTTAGTTGTATACTCAGGGCCTGTTATATAACCTTTCTGGGTCTCAATTTTCTCATCTTAAAATGGGGGTGAAGTGAGGGTTAAACAGATTAATACATGTAAAGCTTTTGGAATAATACTTGGTTCTGACCAAGCATTTAATAAATACTATTATTATGTATGCTTGTTAAAAGTGGACAATAAATTTTGCTTGAGTTTTATAGTGACCCTAGCAAAGTGTAAATATCAATTACCTGATTTCATGTCTATAAAATACATATGAACTGTAAATGCAGATTTCAGAATATTTCCTCTCAAGATTCCTCATAAAGAAGATACTATGTGTGCCTGGAATAATATACCCTCCAAAGGGAGTTTCCCATGATTTTGTCTTTACATCTCTCCAAGAAACCAGTATCTTCATGCCAGAGCTCAGTTTACTAAAAGTGATTTCGCTGTGGCTGAAATATTGTAGTACCCTTGGTCTGACTTAACCCAAAGATAAAATTTAGAGCATTAAGATGAAACTATTGAAACATAAGTCATTTGGGCAATTCTCCACAAATACAGGGAGGCCAATTAGGAGACAATTACAATGATTCTAGCAAGAAGCAACTATAGCCTCTGCCAAAGAACTAGTTATAGAATGAAGAGGTGTTGGCATAGAACCAATCTGTCATACCGTGAGAACTCATGAGGGCTTGGCACTGACTCATGTACAGTAACAGGGAGGAGGACCTTTCA